TTATCAATAGGGGTGATGGAGATAATTATACATATTATGAAATTGATTAACTGCCCACCTGCTTGCTATTTAAATGAGGACTAAATTAAAATTGCAATGGGAGGGAAGCAGATATTTAAAAATCATTAATTATTTGGAATTGCTTTTGCTTTCCTAGGATGATGTCAGAATTGTGTGACAAGAACAACTCCCATTTCAGTGAGAGCCAGACAGCGAGCCAGCACCTCTCCGTCAGCAGCATAAACAGGAGCTTGCAGAAATTAGCAGTATCCCATGTAAGCTGGCCTCTGCAGGGGGCTGGAAAACGAAAGTACAGCCCAACCCGCCGGCTTCATCCTCCTGGAGGATTTCTCTTTAGGCAATCTAACTTTCCCACAGCAGTTCCTAGCCAACATTCTGGAGGCGCTGCTAATGCCACACGAACTGTAACTACCAAAGGCAGCAAAGGCCCACTGTACCACACTGCGGTTCTAGGCTTTCACCTGAGTAACTGGTCATTATGAACGATGCAGTAAGCAAGCTTTCAGAGGTGCAAATGTCAAATTATTGGATAGGAATACAGGGACTGCAGACTGGATCAGTCCCAAGGGCCATCTGGCCCAGTACATGGTCTCCCACAGTGGCCAGCACTAGACACTGCAAAGGAAGCCCTAGTGGTTAGAGACTAGCTTAACCTGCGAAAGAAGGACATTGCATCTCCCTTCCACCACTCTGCTAGCTATCGTTATATATTTTAGGTAACAATCATGATGCAGCAGGCAAAGCCGCACTTGGGAGGTGCTTAGTAAATCCCTAACCCTTTATAAACTAGGCACTTTCAAATAACTGACTGCCTGGTAATGACAAATCATCAACACAATATGTCACTCAGGGCTGCAAGAGAGAGAATGGAACAGAAAGGTAAAATCTGTCTGGGATTATGCTAAAGGAAAACCATGACACTATGACAGAAAGCAATCCGACTTTCCTGGCTTTTAGTGGTGGTGTCTTTGCTCATTACAACTTTCTTAACTTTCTTGCAAGTGTTTTTTTTTAAATACTTTATTTACTGATAATCATCCTGAATGAAGTTTTAGGTCTGGGAATATCACAAGCCAATGCCAGAACCCTGTACTGGGAGAATATGGAACATGGCTAATTCAGAATTTCCTTGGCTCTGTGCAGGGGAAAACCCTGTTATTGTCCCTTTCACAAGGCATTTTTGAGCTAATAGGTAGGCAGAGAGGCAGCAGATTTCACCGATGCCTATCTGCCACTGTCCCATTGACTGTTTAGCAAAGTAATATTTGGACCCACTAAATTGTCCAGATACTGTAGCTACATTTCTGATAGTCCTAAGAGTCTTGAAGGAACAATGCAGCTACCTGTAAACAGTTACAGAATTACCTTTAACCAACTGAAAAGAAACAGGGAGTCGGGGTCACGTGTGTGCAGGTCGGGAACGCTACAAAGTTAGCGACTGGTGAGGACTCAGACTGCCCGTGAAAGGTGTTGGACCGTCTCAAACACTGCAGCACACTGCTCTGCTCCTCAATCGCACTGGGATCCAGGGAGAGCCTGGCACACAGCAGCTACCAGCATGTGGAAACAGCACCGAAGCGGGAGGCTGCATTTGCACAACCCCAATAAGCAGCTGGGGGGACAGTATTTCCTTCTAATCCAACGCTGACCTGGCCCAGTAAAGCATCCAGGCTCCGTAAGCTCCCTCCCAGGCCAGCCTTGATTTTCAGTCCATTTTGATTCCCACTCAACAGTTCCAGCCATTCCCCTTTGAAGGACTCTGCTTCGTTGCCAGTATCTACTGCGGTCTCTCCTTAGCCACGAGCTCTTACACTGCAAGGAGCGAGAGCAAGACCTGCAGCAGGTCACAATCAGTATCCTACCTGTGCAAATCTAGACCCCAGCAGAGGAATTAGGTGTGTACATTCGTAAGTTTCCTGTTACCATAGCCCTGAGCAAGACACTAACGCTGCACTGTAGATAAAACCGACTGACTGCAAATTACATAGACAGAACAGGAAATTTTTGAATGGCTACCACTGTGTCGTGATGCTAAACGTACCTTTATAATGTAAAGCACAGGGAGGGAATTGTCACAGACAGCACCTAATCAAGGCTGCTGAAAAGGCAGCAATGGTCAGAAGGCAAACAAAGATTCCTGCCAATGCACAGGATGTTTCACATTACTAGACCTTTTCTATGGAAATGTTTCACAGCTGCAATAGCCATTACAACAGATGGAAGCACTGCAGCTTGTATTACAATATGCCTGGAGGAGGACTGGCAGTCAGAAAAAAAAGTTACATACTTCGATTGAAACTTGTGCAAACATTGAGGCCTATTGCTTTGCCTGGTTTTATAGGCTTGTTTTGCACTTTGCCTGTAAACATCTGGTGAAATATTCAGGGTCTGTATAAAATAGGTCATCTTTCCAAGCTCGTTCTGCTGCCGGAAGCAGCAGTCCCCAGGAATTCCTACTACCAAGGGGTCTCTCCAGCAGCTTTCAGGCAGAAATATTGCTTCTCTGCCTGCGTGCGCCTGTTGGGCTCATGAGGTGTCAGCAAGTGAGAACTCATGACCTTCCCTTCCTCCCCCTAGAACTATGTGATATGAGCACAAGAACATGCTTTCCCTTACATAGCCAAATCTATCAGGGCAGAAGAGTAATGAGAAAAACCAGTCCTGACATGAATTATGCCATTGTTATATTCCACATATTCAGGAACCTGAAGCTGCAGTTTCAGTGAGAGATTACCTTTTAAATAACCATTTGATTATGGTACATGAATTAATGCCATGTTCCTATGTTAGACGTGTCACTCACCATTAACAGAAAGATCCTGTGGATGGCACAGGTTTGCCACTTTTTCCTCCCTTAGGATGCGCAAGCACTACCTACTCTATCTTACCCCCACTGACTTCATGGCTGGTTTTCCTGGGGTCCCAATCAGACCTGTAAATCCACCAGAATCTAGTCAGGCAGACAATTTCCTGGCCAGATTTTGGCACAATAAATTTTAAAGCCAGATATTTTCCTCCTTTTGTGAAAGTGACACAACTAAGGGTAATTAGCTTTTCACCAAGGCTACCACAACAGTTTTAAAGGCCTGAAATTAGTCTAGGGAAAAGCACTTTGAGAAAATCATTTAAGTCTGATATTATTCTGAACTGTAGCTGTTAGTGCAGGATATGATTTTATGTGTGTGTTTACACACACTCATGCACACACCCACTCCTGTATGTAGATAGTTAACATAAAGAATGCCAACTTGGCACATAAATGTAGTGGTCCTACAAACTACTGAATAATGTTATGTATTATTATTGCTGTGGACTGCAAATGGCTTCCAGACTACACTGCTCTTGGTGCACAGTGACTGGCTCTGTGAGATTTTATATTTATAAAAACTCCCCTCACAATCTCCTAGCTGCAGCCATGCAATTCCAGCCTGGTATCTGAGAGTCAAGCTGGGTTGCCAGGGAGTGATGTGAAGGGCAAAAGTATAACTGGGCTCAAAAACCAATGAGATAAGTTCATGGAGGATAGGCCCATCAATGGCTATTAGCCAAGATGGTCAGAGATGCAGCCCCATGCCCCAGGTGTCTCTAAACCTCCAACTGCCAGCAGCTGGGACTGGATGACAGGGGCTGGATCACTCGATGACTGCCTGTTCTGTTCGTTCCCGCTGAAGCATCTGGCACTGACCACTGTCAGAAGACAGGATGCTGGGCTGGATGGACCAATGGTCTGACCCAGTATGGCCGTTTTTGTGTTCTTTTTGGCTCAAACAAACCACAGAAATAAAGAATCTGTAGACAAAAGTCCTCCTGAAATGGGTTTGCATAGGTGTCAGCACAGGCCGAGCTTTAGGCCTAGTACCGACACGGATTGTGTGCAGGAACCACGATATGCTGTGCTGGCTGGTTATTTTCATTTATACACATGCAGGGTCTTGCTCCTGCTCATGGTACTTACATATGTATTTTAATTGTTCTTTTATTAACATGCACACTAAAGCTAGAGTAAGGGAAAAAATCAGGAAAAATATTCATTGACTTTTTTTCCACATTGAAATGTGGAGACTTTTGACTAGCTCTAGTATGTGTAGGGCTGCCCCAGATGGCAAATAGTGCCATTTTCTGAATAGAGAGTCAACATGTGCTCAGCATTACATGTAGGGTTGGTGCATGGGATTCTGGTGTGTCTCTCTCCTCCAATATCCAAGAAATCTGGGGAAAGATCGTGAAAGGCCTCAATGCTCCTGAAGAGAGTGAGATTAAGGCCACTCTGGAGTTTGCAGATAATGGAGGGAAATAGAGTACGCAAAAATAATAATAATAATAATAATAATAATAATGCTAGAGAGGTTCTAAAAGTAACAAAACCCTTAAAACCAAACAATGTCTAGTTTTTGGTTTATCCCAGAGGCGGTAAGGAAATTCTGTGCCATGCCCGCACACAACACAGTCTCTGCAGGAGTTCAGTTATTTTATTTTTACTATGTATGTGGTGGGTTTGTTTGTTTTCTGGGTGGGGGTGGGAAGAAACATGAGCAGTATCTATGCGGAAACCAGGCTTATCACACTGATAGAAGTGTCCTGCAAGTATGGAAAGAAGAGATGGGTTTTAGGAGGTAAATAAGGGGAGGTAAGGTAAGGATCAGGGCAAAGGGGAGAGGAAGAAAGATAAGCAGAGGTGTTAGACTGACAAAAACTACCTAGAAATCCCACTCTTGGCACCCATACTCCCACCTGGCTCCATTGTTTCCAGTGAACAATGACACTCACTGTTAGTAACAGTTGTGCCTGAACATCCTCTGGAACTATTTCGCATCCCACATGTTTCTGATGCTTGAGTGACAGAAATCTTAGAAGTCCAGTGCATGGATCTCGCACCTCTTTCCTTTTTCTGCAGCCAGGACTGCTCTATTTGGTTAGACTTTCTGATTAAATTGACAGAGCACAGTATAAAAGAGTCATTATTGCATGCACTAGCTTACCTGATATGGCATATAAATTTGAGTGCTGGTGTTCAAAGTCGAGTCGGGAGTTGTTACTTTTGCCTCGAAAGCTCGCGGGAAGCGTCAGAGATATGTGCCTAGTGAAGAGAGGGGGGAATGGAGATGACATTATTACAGAGCAGGAGAAGATGCTGCTATCACCCCATTCCTTACACTGATGATAATTCCTGTGAGCTCAAGTGGTAAACAGCAACTGCAATGCTGCCTGCAAAAGGCAGAATGGGCCCAAATCACATGAAAGTGACAGAACTGGTGACTCGGTCATTATTTCCAACTTGTTCAGCAGCTAAAGTGAAATGTGTTGGCATCTCAGTCCAGCTCCCAGTGGGCGAGGAGCCTAGCGCTGGCACCTTCACGGGCAGCTGCAGCAAAGAGAGCAAGGTGTGACTCTGCTACGGAGACCCAGCCACCCACTCACCCCCGAGAGCAGCGTGGCAGGGGCATGGGGCAGCTGTCAGTTTTTCATGAGCATCACCTTGACCTTACAGAAGTGTCCCCATGATGCAGTACTAACAGTCTACAGGCAGGCACTGAAGGAGTTAAATGTGTATCTTTCAAGCAGTCAGTGGATGTCTATTATAATTGTGGGTCTGGATTTATCTGTAAGGTAAAGCACTGCGACCTTGCTGCATTCACAAACACACTCCCTGGGCAGATGTTTTTTAAACTTGACAGCCCACTGCATCCTCCCCTCAGCAGCTCAGGCTTGATTGCTCCAAACAGAACCCAAATGTACGAGGTGGTTTCCTCCAGCCCCACACTCAGAGAGGGGCAGCACCCTTTCCATACTGCCCTTGAGAGAGCAACTAAACCCTGCCCAGGAAAATGTTCCGCAGAGCTGCACATGGCTGTAGGGGAGCAACACCAGGCTCCTTCCCTCCCCCGCCCCCTATATTTTAAAAACTTTAGTTAAGCCTTAACTTCAGCACATGCTGTAAATAAAACAAGCCTGCAGAAATGAAGCCGGGGCCATTTCAATAGCTCAGCATTTATGAACTATTAAAAGAAAACCGCACATGCTGTGGGGAATGGCGTAGAGAGTGGGCTAGAGAATACAGGCAAGCTTCCCAGAACCCCCGTCTGCCACAGGCCAGGAGCTGGAAGTGATGCTCAGGGAGCCCCAGTACCAGTAGGTACCAAGGCCAGAAACGCAAGCTCTGTCTTGTGGTCATTTGCAAGCAGTTGATTTTCAAAATCTGGAGTCTGGGGATGTGATTACTCACACCAGCTGTTCAGCAACAGGGAAAAAACCTCAACCTCAACCTGACAGCCACTAACTCACGAGGGTAAGTTTCTAGGTTCCACGGTCCTTGTGGCTCCTTGCACTCCCTGTTCAAGAAACCAGGCAGGGAATCATGGCCCCATGACATCTGCTTCATAATCCTGTGCTGGATCGTACTTACCATCCAGGCCTCCTCTATTAATGGCAAACTGACCAACTCTCCAATTTACTATCCTTGGGTGGAATACGAAAAGGTCAGTTTCACAATTTCTCCTGCCACCTGATACGTTTAAGTGAATGCAGAAGAAAATTTTATTTTGTCCCCTAAACCAGTCTTCATACTTGATTCAATTAATGTGGTCACTAAACTAAACTGGAGAGACAGCTTCATCCAAAGCCCTTCAATTACGGAATACATTTTATTAGGAGATGATATTTGCTAGCTATAGATTTATATGCTTTGATGGGAGATTCAAGCTTTTCCTTTTTAATTTAAATCTATATTTTCTACTGCTGATTCTAGGTCTGTGTGAATTTTTATTAAATGTTATCATTAATCTTCTGGACCCAGTTGCCACATGTAATGAAGATGCTTCTCTCTTCACAGCAAAGACTTAGTCTAGCATGAAGGGAAGAGGCAGCAGCTGTCCATTTCATACATTTAAAAGCTACATAAACAAGGGAAGATACTTTGCGGTGCCCATTTGCCAGAAAACAAGTTAGTGCTTTCCCCATCACAAATGCCATATATAGAAAGAAAGAAAAAAAAAAGCATCACGTACTTTCCAGCAGAGAATGTCTGGCTTGTTTTCCAGGCCAAGGAATTTTTATTTATTAAATATTTGTTGGAAAACAGCTACCTTTAAAAACAGGACACACTCCTACAAACCAGAGAAACAGCTTTTAAAACAACAATAATGGTTGTGAACCTTGGGGATAACATTGCTTTGAATCAGTGTGTACTTCCAAACCTATTTCCAAGTAAACATTAAAACAAATAACCAAAAAGGCCACGTGAAAACGTTTTCAAATTTAGCCAACAGTTTTCTATTGAAAACTCTGCCCAGGTGGGGCTTTTGGCCAGCCCCAGCCCAGTTACACCGCTTCCATGCGTTATGCACTTTTCCTTCCATTTTTAATGAAATTATCCAGGAATTTACTGATGAGTCATCCCGACAATTAACAGTGAGGGATGTCTGAATGTCTCTTGTTTATGTTGGGGTCTGTTCTCTTCTTCCACATGCATAAACAGTAATCCCAATGGGAGATTCACAGGGAGAAAATAAGTCAGACCTCCAAAGGGCACGTCTTTGAGCAACATAATTTAAAGGCTTACTGTAGCCTGATGAAATCAGGAGTACAGAGCGCATGGAAGTCACCAGAGATTAACATCGTCTGTCGACAGAAATGCTGGATCTTCCCCATGGGGAAAGTACTCTTCAGCAAACGACCTCAAAAGAAGACAGAACCAGCCCACACTCCAGAAGCAGGACATGCATCTCTTAGGGCTGGTCTACACTGGGGGGGGGGGTCGATCCAAGATATGCAACTTCAGCTACGCGAATAGCATAGCTGAAGTCGAAGTATCTTGGATCGAATTATCTGGGGTCCACACGGCGCGGGATCGACGGCCGCGGCTTCCCCGTCAACTGTGCTACTGCCGCTCGCTCTGGTGGAGTTCCGGAGTCGACGGTGAGTGCGTTCGGGGATCGATATATCGCGTCTTAACAAGATGCGATATATCGATCCCGGATAAATCGATTGCTACCCACCGATACGGCGGGTAGTGAAGATGTACCCTTAGCAACCAACCGGGCTAAAAACAATGGGTCTACCAGAGTAATTCATAGTGTACATTGTGTAAGCAAATTATAAGTTGTTGAGATCGTGAACTTCCACATGCCCAAGAGCTTTCAAATAAACATTTCATTCAATCCTTGGGTTGGGACATACCCAATGAACAAAGTACCCGACTATCACCACAATTTCCTGGCAATTCACACCAAGCACCAGGTTTCATAAGTGCCATATGCTAAGATGGTGTGTACCTTCCACCAATGTAATTAAAATGAATTGCTCTGACTCAAACAGACTCAGCTCACGTACACTTGACTGTGGCGGTAGAGAAGCACATATCCAGCTCTTGGCTTATATTTCAGCACCATCTCCAGTTTATTCTTAATCTTAAATACACCAAAGTTAAACTCTGAACCTAGAGCACTCAGCCATACCTATGATGAATAAATTATGAATATTAAAACTGAACCTACAATTTGAAACTTGCTTTTGGTCAGCATTCAAGCCCATAACTTTCTTTTCACATGTCCATGTGCAGTGATGGCACCTCAAATGTTAGTGGGGTATTAATTTAATAATACTGAATCATGGGCACTGTCTAATAGGAGGAGGTTTTCAAATACATACAAATATTTTTGGATTCTCTCTCCCTTGTTCACTCAGCTCAATTGTGAACATCCATTCTTTCTGATAGCCAAATGGGATTTCATCATCTAGAATAAAACTTGGTGCAGGGATTGGAGTATTTAAGGGCCTCTCCAAAGAAGAAATGGAGTTTCAAGACCACAGGACGGGAGATAATGCCATTTCTAGTGCAAGATCAGAACTTTAAATTCTAATTTAAAAAAATGTGACACGAGGGGGGGGGGGCAGGAGGGAAACACAGTCTAATTTATTTTAAATTAATGCAAACATTTGGCCAGGATCAATATAACTCATACCTACTGACTTGATTGCATAATGAATTTTCCTTATGGGTTGTGAAAGCCAAATCATTTTGCATTGTAGAAGGAAAAAAAATAGGCTGCCATTGAAAAAAGCAAGAAAATCCCAATTACAAACTCCCCAAGTTCCTAAACACATATCGTGAAAGCATGTGCAGCTCTGTAGCATATGGCAAATCAATTACTAGTTTAAATTTTAAAACAAAAACATGGCAAATGTGTTGCAGAAATAATCAAGAACAACGGTTTGGTTTAGATTACAGTGGCCACTAGAGTTTTGAATACAATTAATCATCATTCCAGGCAATGGGAAGCCATATTGACACTTATTCCTCATTTGAATATTTAATTAGGGTGAAGTTCTTCATCAAATTATCACGGAACTGGGAGGAAAGCCTAGAAGATTTAAACAATTAGACTTTAACCCATTAGCGGCTGCTCACCTGTGAGCTGAAGAACTTGCACCGCACTCCCGGGAAGGAAGAGCATGTTCAGACAGCAGAACAGGAATTAGGTATAATCCCTTTATTAGAAATACAGGCGGAAAGCTCTGCGGGCACTTAACATACTGTGGGTCCTATTCGGAGATGCCAGACTGAAGGAGGTTTCTTGAACTCCATTCATGTTAATCTAGAGGGCTCGGAATTCTATTGAGATGTCGAGAGTTTCCTTCATGCAGAGCCTGACTACGGACATGGGCTCCCTTGTAGTGCACAACTGGGGTCTGTGTTGCTGTGATTGTTAAATGCCCTTCGGCAAAGGGAGTGGGGAGCCCACTCTTGGCAGATAGGTCCTAGCAGATCAATGGGTAAATGCTCAGTTTAGCACAGGAGTTTCTTGCAGCAGTTGCCACCAGGGATGAGTCAGAGAGACCCCCCCCCTCCCCTCTCCGGCTTCACACTCCCTTGAAGCCTGGAGTGCAGATGTCCTGGCAGGGGATGTGGGGTGGGTGGGAGACAGGCTATGCAGACATTTCTCAGCCCATCTCCTCTAGTGTTTGCCCCTTTCTGTCAGCAACCCCTTCTGCAGTCAACTGGGGCCAGCTACGTGCCATCCGGCTGCTGATCTCTTGCAGGCAGACTCTGCTCTGAGAGAGGCCGGGGACGTTAAGCTG